GCAGCTACCTGCTGCAGACAGAGGCGGAGGGATGGCGTTAGCAGACGGAGGTGCACTCTCTCCATCCTGTCTACAACCCTGCAGGGACAGAGGAACTAATAAGCATTTTAAGCAAAATGCTCTGCCAAGAGTGGCTCCCTCAATAACGCTCTTTAATGATACCCCAGACGCTGGCATTTTCAAATCAAATGAACAGTGTATAAAATTAGTTCTGCATGAAGTTAAAAAAAGAGAGTAAGTGAAAGGGAGCTTTTAAAAGCTCTAGCATTTCTCCATTCCAACTGCTTTTCACAAGGGTTTGGCATATGAGAATTGCTACATTTATGATGTTATTCGCTGCTCATAATTCAGGCTCTCTGTCTCCAAACTTCTGTATTAACACGCACTGCAGAGGTTTCCACCGCGACATTTTATCACCGAGGTTTCCCAAACCAGCCAGCCTGCCTCTGGCGAGGTCTGGTTTCTCAGCCAATGTTATGCCACCGGGCTCCTTCCCTTTTCATCAGCCTTGTTACCCAAAACATTTTTTCATTAACCTCGAACGCTGTATTTCCATTTGCCCTACAGCTTTTCCATGAAAAAAAAAATTTTTTTTTTGTCTTTTCCAGTTTTGTTCCCCATCCAAACTGCCTTGCGAGAAATGAGGAAAATATATTATTAGAAGAAACAGATCTATATAGAATCTAGCATTCGCTGAAGTTGTGAAAATGATTTTTATAACCGAAGCTGCTGTCTATAATTAAGGCAGGCGGAGTCAACATATTGCTCCGATTAGAGTTCCCGTTGATTATACAAGTAGTTTTTAACTAAATCGCCAAGTAAATGTGTGTTAAGTTGATAGGTGATTTCGGGTCAGCTCTAATTCCCAAGGCCAAGTAAGCCTTTGAACAGTCTTTAAGGATATAAATTCACCCCAATTCATCAAAGCCATCTCACACAGCGTGTTCTTCTCTTGGTTCTCACAATGCACTAAAGTTTAGGAGATTAAGCGGCCTCAGCTTCAAAACCCAAAGCGACGCCTGTAACGTGCTTATCCATCCAGCAATCAGAAAAGCTATTCACACAGGGGCTTCCTAACGCACTTCCTAATTTTACAAGCGCGCAGGGAGCGCCACGATCGTCAAATGGCGGGAGGACTCCTCCGTCATCGCTGCTGCAGCCCAGCAAATTTTACTGCTGTTTTGCTTAGACATCCTCTGATAATCTAAGTACATGTTGCTTTCGTCTGCAAGCAATATGTTTGATGTTTCTCATCTGTTCTTTGTTTACCTAATGAGAGGAACGGAGGAAAAACACCTTCCTACAACAAATACCATGCATTTTGTTATTCTTACAATTTTTTCAAAAACTCAAGTGAGGAAAACAGCGTAAGTTTGGGTCAAGTATAGCTTTCAGATTAAGGATAAGAGGCCCCAAATGAAACTGACGTCACATGAAAGAAAACATAACCAGCCTTCAATATTTCTCAGAACTGTAGGAGCACAGCACACACGTCCTGGGACATACAGATATCACACACACACACACACACACACACACACACACACACACACCCGGCCCCCTCATCCCAGGGCAGGGACCCAGGGATGGCATTTCTGAAGTGGGGGCAAGTGTGCAGAGACCATTGAGACCTCTCGTTCACTCCTTTGGCTCGACGAAGGGGAAGGATTACTCTTATTTGCGAATTATTAGTGGTCAGCAGGTCTGGTTAAGGTACAGGGAGAAGAGTGAAAGGCCCACATTAATTTAGTTAGTTCTTTGTTGGCACAAATGATCACATCGAGGTAGTCAATTATTGCCTCCATATCCTAATCATAATGTCTCTGTGCTTCCTGTTTTTATTATTTTTCCCCATTATTTTTCTTAGTACTTTTCTTTTTGTTTACCTATTTGAATTGTCTGCTCTCCAGCTCACCCTTTCCTCCTCCCATTACAATTATTTCTTCTCTCCTCTGCCTGAGTTAGTAAGTTGATCCCCAATACTGTGTGTCCCATGGATGCATTGGTTTTCCTTTGTGAAATGTATAGAAATGTGATTACGGGTATCTTTGTACAGAAAAGAATCTGAAGGCTAAATTTAAGTGAGGAAAAAGTAAAAGGGCAAAATCTCCTGTAATCTGAGTTTATTTTCTCCCCTTCGTTTTAATTCCCTTTCAAAACAGGAGAGCAGGCAATACACTTTTTTTTTTTCTCCTTTGGAAATTCAAATATTAAACCACAGGTTAATATAATGATATTAATGATAAGAATAACCAGCAACACTGAGCATTTTATATATCACACACAATATTCTCACTTGATAGAAGTGCCCTCACTGACATGCTCACAGCACTTCGATAGGAAAGGTACTATTGTCACCGCCATTTTTCAGACAAGGAAACACAGACACCGGGATGTTAAGATAACACAACCAAGTGTCAAGCCCAGATCTAAACCTGAACTCTGGTTCCAGAGTCCATACCCTCCACTACAAACTGTTTTTCTTTGCCTGGCTTTCTAACCTAATCTGACATTATATTTTCATTACTCTGTTTAAAAATGAATTTTGTCCTTATGCAGAAAGAAAAGGCAAATTTTTTTGAGTCTTAATAAAAATTCGAAAGCAGGTAATGGATAGCTTGATACCAATTTTGAAAGCTGATTTCCATTCAATTTAAGGTTTCACTTGCACGTTGTGTGTGGTTTGGAAACTTGTTCTCTCTTCACAGAACCTCTCATGTTTGCCTCTGAGCTGCCTTAAGCCTGAGGGCGCCGGGCAGCAAGCCTGGGCCCTGAGCCCCCTGGCTGGCCACAGGCTATGGTTAGACCCCTGGTGCTAGAGCCACGGCCGCTCGCTCAGAGCAGCTCTCACATTGGAGAGAGGATTCAGAGGCTGCCCCAAACCCTCCGGGGTACCACCAAACGGAACAGTCGCCCCATCTCCCTTTGAACTAACTTGTATTTGGGTAGAAAAGGATCCATTTTTTAAACTTAAAATTAGCAAAATGCTGGTCAGCAAATATATCTGAAATAATCTCCTATACTAATCAGAACGTAAGTTTCTTTAAAAGAAATGTTTTTTAAATTGGTTTTTGCTTTTAAATTTTCAATGACAGTTTACATTCTACACCAGTCTGTATTAGTTTCAAGGTGTATAGCATTGTGATCAGACAATCCTATATTTCACAAAGTGTTCCCCCCGATATTTCCAATACCCAACTGGCACCATGTACACTAGTAGTTATTACAATACTACTGTCCATATTTCCTCTGCCATACGCCCCATCCCCGTGACTGTTTTGTAGCTACCAATCTATACTTCTCTATCCCTGCATCTTTTCACCCAGTCCCACAGGCCCCAGCCCCTCTGGCCACCACCAGTCTGTTCTCTGCATCTGGGAGTCTGGTCCCGTTCTGTTTAGGACATAAATTTCTACAGTTCATCCCTGGAGGTGGAGCTGATCTCAACACATCCAAAGACTGGTTTGTTGGGATACAGCGACCCACTTTGAACACACACGTTTTGGTGTCCTTGCTCATGGAGTACTCATGTCTGAACTCCTCTGGCTGAGACCGAGGACATCTGCTGTCATTGCTCAACATTTCTAGGATACTCTGATGACTGTGGGCCCTCCCTTTAACTTTTTAAAAAAATAATTTTATTTTAAAGTGACAGAGTTAGTAGTAGTGCTAGGTTTAGTTAGTAGTGAAGTTTGAGGGAGACTTGTAACCCTTGGGTCTCAGTGCTGTTGCTTAGTAACAAAATCAGTCAGCTTTCTAAGCTGGGATGAGACTATATAATAAAATCTCTCTAAACATTACTAATGGGCAAAGGCCTGGTATAAGTTTGGATTTTAAAGTGACTTTCGAGCATTTAGAGAACAGAATGGGGTCAATTAACAAATATGATAAAACACACAAAGGATTTGGGCTATTCCTTCTATTGGCCCCAAATTTGCTACATTTAGAAAATGCATGTCCTTTGAGATACATATAGTATTTAGTTTCACTCTCGTTTGCTAGATATGTCCCTAACCACCACTTGCAAAAGTATCACACCTGTGTAAATTATTGTAAGACGCCAGCGTTTTCTGAGCAAGTATCTGAGGTGGCTCTTTTTCAAGGAACTGGTCCCTGTGCCTGGAGATGCCCTGAGGATGTGCCACGAGCCTGAACACAGGCGCCCAAGACCTGGGGCAACATCTGGGATGAGTGGCCTGGAGCCATGTGTGGTCTTTCTGAGACTCTATATTCTCGCCTTCACAGCATGAATAACTATTCCTTAGATCTGTTATAGGGGAAACATCTTCAAAGGGCCCCAAATTAAATATGGCCCAATTTCCCAAACTCATGTTCAAGTCTCTGGGCCAGCTCTACCGACGTGCAGTGGGACCTCTGGGGCTGTTTCTCAGAGTATGCTAAAGGCAGCAGCTTAAGTGTGGAGAGATGCAAATTCCCCATTCCAGCCCATTTTTGTCCCCCAGATAGTCAGAATACATAGATGTTGGGCACTGAAACTTCATACTTTGAATTGGGGGGAAAACAACCTGGCACTTTCTTTCTGCCTTACTGCTGCAGGGAACTTGGAACCCAGAGCAGAATTTTACTGTCAGACCCTGCACGTTGCAATGTGCCATGCAAACATTATTCATTTTGTCCATGGGCTTTAAGGGTAGGAAGTCAAAATCAAAGTTGACTATGAGTATGATTGCCTTTTCTTTCTGCATAAGGACAAAATTCATTTTTAAACAGAGTAATGAAAATATAATGTCAGATTAGGTTAGAAAGCCAGGCATCTTAAAATCCATAGCTGTTAACAGTGCATGTATGTATATACATGTGTATATATATATATACCTACATATATACCTCTATACATACATAACCACATATGTATATGAAGAGAGAGAGAGAAAGAAAAAGAGAGAGAGAGAGAGAGAGAGAGAGAGAGAGAGAGAGAATGATATCCAGCTATTAACTACACTGATATTTACAAAATTAACTTGAAAGGTAACTCTTACTTTATCGCATCTCATCAGCCCCAAATATCTCAGAGACTTGCTGCTCTGAGCAATCAGGGTGGCTCCTTGGTCTGTGATTTCTTTGCACCATCCGACATCTACCGTCTCTATGGTCATGCTGTATCGCCCAATGGCTATCAGCGCTGCGGGAAGAGATGGGGGGAAAAAGGCAGAATAAACATTAGCAGCGGAAGGATTTTCTAACTCATTATGACCATTGCTCTCATTTTCTCACTAAACTTGTTCCTGAAATGGTGTGTGTAAATGCATGTTTTATAAACAAAATTAAATACTTCCGGAAAGCTTGCCCTATGACAAACCCTTTTACAAAGTGAATGATCACTCCATAATGTCCCTTTCATTGGAACACAACCTTTTATCAGTTTTACTCATTGCAAGGTTACTTGTACTTGCAAACATACATATCTGCAGAAGGAACAAATTAAAATGAATTACACACATAAAGTGCTACAGAAAACCCCAAGTAGTAATTAAACTTTACCCAAGATAATGTTAATTTAAAAAAAGAAAGAAAAACCCATATAAACACCATTTTGAGGTGTATAACACTGCATATGAATTTCTTTACTGATTGGCATACATTTTTCCATCTGTTCATGATCTTAAAATGTAAGAATACATAATATTTTTTAAGTTAGACCTTCTTGGGACTGTTAGGAATTAAGAGTACATTATACATACAGTTGAATTTAATTGATGCCATGCTATAGTGCAGTAAAGGGAATGCATTTGTGCTGGTGAATTTCTTCCTCATATCAGAAGTATTCTTCCCACTAACATATAAAATGAAACCTGTCATCTGAAAACTATGACAGCATCTCTAGTCTCTTTGACTGTTTAGCCTGGTACTAATGTGCAGATGCTCATCCCATAATCTCTGAGGTACCCTCCTTATCACTGCTCATAACCAGCTGCCCCATCAGAGTGACCAATCAGTGAGTGTGGATCTTTGCTGTGGACCTCTGATTGGACAGACACACATGCCTCTACCTTTGTGAGCAGAAAAAAAGATTTCAATAACTCCATCCAGAGTGTGTTTATGGTGCATTGGTATGTAAATGAAAACCCCCAAAGCAATGCCACAAATACTAAAAAGGAAGAAGTTGTTTGCTAATTATTTCCTCATTCTATGATAGGAGGAATTGATTCACTAGATTAATAAGAGCAGAGTGAATTATTCATGTGAATAAATGTTAACTCTTACACCTCAGAGAAAAGTATACTTGGCAAAATCACTTTGCTAATTACCTCAGTAATTTTTCTTTTAACCATAAAACTCATGCCCATTCCTTCAAATATCAAAGACATATATTAAAAGCTTACAAAAACAATAATCATGATCCCAGTGTTTTCCAGTGAAAATGCTATAAAAGCAGAGAAAAAGTTTTTCCTGGAAGTCCCTCATGCCACTAATTTGCAGATGCTCTCTTCTTCGTGTGAGCTATTTCGGCATTTAGTTTTCCTAGGAGATTAGGCAGGGCCCGGGGCAATCTGCCAAAGGTTTGCTGAATGGTCTGAAAGACATTTTTGTGTAGTAGAAGCAATGTCTCAGGTCAATCCCATTGGTGTTCTTGACCTAAGAAAACTGTTGTTATCTCTGTTATGGTCATAACTTTGGTTATGATGTCCTGAGGATCTCCTATGAGGAATGAAGTAGAAGATATATAAAAGACATTCCTTTCAATACAAAGTGCTCAAACTGAGATTTCAAAAGACCACAAAGCACAAGTTGCAAGATGGCCTTGGGGCGGTAGATCGTGCACTTTTATTGAGGTTTGAGGCTAGAACATGGAAAGCCCTGCAGTAGCTAGAAAAAAGTAAACCACATAATCCGAGGAGTTCTCAGAGGCTGTTTCCTAAGCAAGTAGAGTCAACAGCAATTTATTTTATGTGTTAAAAACACTGGTGTTTGGAATTTTCTTTTTTGTCCAAATTAAAATAAACAGTAAATAAGAAAAATGAAGATATATACATCAATTTTTGTTTTGTCATAGTTGTTGCTTAACTTGTTCATTTACTCAACAAACACTTCATGAGCTCTCACTCTACAGCCTTCTCTCCAATATTTATAGACTATCCACATACTAGACACTAGGCTAAGAATTTTAGGTGCATTATCTCACTTAATCCTCACAGCAATGTTATGCAGTTGTATTGTTATTTCCATATTAAAGATTAGAAAATGAGCCACAGAAAGACCAAGTAACTTTCCCAGTAGAACAAGATAGCAAATGGGGAAGTGGATAATAAGCTCAGAGCTGGCTCTCAGCCCTGGGTGCCCATCCAACCTACTAAGCTGGAATCAGTGGTCAGGCCATTGTAATTCACATGCGGAACTGTGGTGGGACACAGGGGTCCCGTGCTGGGTACCGGGGGCAGAACAATTCCCAGAGCTCAGAGGCCAGCTGTGTGGTGTGGGTGATGGGAGGTTTGGATGGAAATGAGGAACAAACAAATAAACAGTCACTAGGGAGGTTGGGGGGAGGGGAATTAGCTACATGTGTTCAGGATGTATTTCCCTTTACCATGATTCTGGAGTGAAACACGACAGCTTATAGGTAGCCAAGTATTTGCCTGTGACTATAAGATTCTTTATTGGAATCTTCAAATTCTAAAATGCATACTGAATAATTTACCTCCTTGTGACTCTATACTACCTTTGGATATTTTTTCACTATGCTAGCTGTGAACTGTGTAGTGCAATTTCAAACCATGTAACCTCACAATGATCTCCAGTGGTCGGCAAACAGTTTGCCGCTCCATTGACTAATGAGTTTGCCGACCACTGTAAGTAGATGTCTGGCCTCAGGATGACATTTAACATTTCTGAGTCTCCGTTTTCTCACCTGGACAAATGGGGATATTGACTCCATGGAGACCTGCCTTCACAGTGTTGGCTTGAGGTTCAAATGAGATAATACATGTAAGGGACTTTGCACTACAGAAAAGTCATGATTAATTTGATATTTCCAAACCATCCTACAGTAGTGCAGTTGACTAAAATGAAAAGACTTGAAAGAGTTTTGAAAAATAAACAGCTCCGGGCAAATGAGAGCATTATATAAGTACTTGGTCATTGTGTCACTGCTATAGTTCTTGAACTGTCTACTCTCCATTGGTGTTCATGAAACCCACAGACCCTGGGATGACAGGGCTGTAAATGTATGTATGATTACAACCTTCATTAGAGACTGTTGACACATTACAATGATATTTATTGAGCCCTGAAAGGGAATAAATTATGCAAGACTAATTCCTAATCCCATGCAATGTTAATATATTTTCTTTATGTGCTAAGTGCATCAAATAAAGTTAAATTTTAAAAAGTTACACAAATTACAAGCTGTAATTCAGCAACTCATATGATGATCAGGGAAAGATATAGATCAACCCACTAACAGGCATTTCCATAGGCATACAGAGTGACTGAAAAACACGGGCACACATGCACTTAATTTTGACTAATAAATTCCATTTCTAGGAACCTACCCTGAAAATATACTTCTAATTATACAAAATTACATACACACACACACACACATATATATATATATATACACACACACATATATACATTATATATATATATATATATATATATATATATATAATATATATATATATTTTCATGGGGGCATTATTGTACTTGCAAACTTACGAAAACAGCCTTAATGCTCAAACATAAGAGTGGTTAAATAAACTATGCCACACCCTCATAATTGAACACAAGAAGCTAAAAAAAAAAAAAAGAAAATGGGGTAGATCACTGGGAACTTCCACATCATTCAATGAAGAAATGAAAGTGCAAAAGAGCTTATAAGGCGTGCTACCACCATACAAAAGGGAACATAATAAAAAACCTGAATCTGCTCATTTGTGAGAAATAAATACAGGAAAGATTACCCAGAAAACATAGAGTCTATTTAACTATAGGGGGATGGTGGGAAAAGAGAGGAAAGAAAAGGGACACAAATGTGGTGGTGGAGTGTGAGGAGGGACAGACACTTCTTGAAATATCTCTTTGGCTATAGCTTTGAATCTCTGAACCATAGTAACACTTTACATACCTCCCACACACACACACAAAAAAAATTAAAGCCAACTAGAATGTGGGGGAACCCAAAGTGAAAAACAAACAGCAACAAATCAATCCTAAGTGTATTACCAATGAGCAGCTTGAACCTGCAGAGTGATATAATCACACTGAAGGGATAGGAATTAAATCGCTTTGGAAAACATGATTTTGACTGAATATTATAAGGCGCAAAACCAAAATGAACTGCCACCAAATATTGTTCTCTAGTTAGTAAATATATTTCCCACAGAGGTGTGAGTGAGCAATTCAGTAACAACTTTATGTGTAATCTAGGATTGTAGATACTGAGTGTCAGTCTTTGAACTGTTAGAGAAATAGGTTACAAATAAGAAAAGGAGAGAAGATTATAATGAACCTGTGGTATTGAACTGAAATCAGAGGTATTAAATGAACTCGTATATTTTGTATTTACACACATATACACAGATAGTCACATAGAAATAACCAATAAATATCATGTATGTGCATTCATGGTTTAGTACACATACATATATTTCCTATTTTTTTTCTGCTGAGAGGGATAAGAGCAATGACACTCCAGAAACAATGATCTACTAGCACCCAGATCTTTTTTCTTTTTTTCAAAACATCATTCTCCAATAAAAGGAATCAAGGCTTCTTAGAGAAATGACTGATTTCAGGTCTGTGGCAGGGAAAATACAAGATAAGACTGAACATCATATATTCACACACACACACACACACACACACACGCACGCACACACGCAACACACACACATTGCTTAAAAGGAATGAGAGCATGCCAAAAAGACACTGAATCCAACCAGAAAGAGCTGCCAATGACACATCTGGAACAATATGAGCATCAAATAATGATAGCATTGGATTATTATTCGAAAATTGGAAACGCATCTATAAGTCCTTACTGATATAAATGATCAAATAAATAAAGAGACAAGGAGGGGCAGATCTTCCTTACAGAAGAATTTTTTAAAAAATGTACGGAATAAGAGAAATACTAAAAAAGTAAAAAAAATTAAAAATCAGGCGAAAACCACAGTAATC